TGATTCGAGTTCATTACACAATGCTTCTTATGCAGTATTATACAATAATACTGTTCCAGCTTACATACAAATTCGACTTAAGGGCAGACCTTGGGAACGGAACTCATTCTTAAACTGAGGACTACCTGTATAAACAGTAGAAATATAAGACAGGATCTTTTTGGTGGCAATTCTCAGATTGTTGAATTCATTCTCCAGAGAGCATACCCTGCTCTTCCGTTTCATACTGGCTTGCTTACCTTATTAATTTGTTTATATTAAATAAGATTCCTACTTTGCAAACTTGGAGAAGACACTACTATTTCAGGTAAGTATTTGGCATCAGTAGAGATATATCAGTGTTTGGCATCCAAGAGATAGATATATTTCTCTTGGATTTTTTGGTTTTATTGTTTATGTTTGACTTGGTTGTAGATGATCATATCTTTAATTTTGTTAGCTGATCTGTTGGAGCTGTTTTGATCAAAATGTGAAATAAGATATACCTCAAGGAACTCAACTTCTCATTTTTCCCCTCTCTTAGATTATAGCCTATCAGCCCTATGGGAAGTCGGTGGACTGGTGGTCGTTTGGTGTCCTTCTGTATGAAATGTTAGCTGGACAGGTACGTGTATGTTTAGGCAAGGATTCTTTACCATCTACTCCCAAAAGTGTCTTTGCATTATCTGGAGAAATGGTTGCTAGCCATTAAGCCGTGACTATCAGACCAAGCAACAAAGGCTCTTGGGGATTAAACTCAGTCATCAGCATCTCCTGGGGGTTGGGGTTGGGGAATGTGCATTTGAACAAAAAGTTGCCCCAGAGAATTTTCATAATTTCCAAGTGGGGCTGAGATCTTTGAAATAGATTAACTTTGAAAGATATTGATAAGGGACTGATTTCTTAAATAGCTGGATGTAGGGAATAAGTTGTTCATTGGGCCTGTGATAATAAACTAGCAGCCTTACTAGATTCTAAGGAGCGTCAGTCTAATATGAGAAACTAGGAGTAACTGTAGGGGAAGAAGATGCTTCATATGTCTTAGCATAGTGGAAGCCTTAAGATATGCTTCCATTGAATACAATGTTAGATGAACAATATTTCATTCATTCATTCATTCATTCATTCATTCATTCATTCATTCATTCATATCATTTATATAGCCAGCCATCTTACACAAGTGACTCTGGGCAGTTTACAAGATTAAAACAGACCATCCTGCCCCCCCAAACATAATCTCCCTGGTCTTCAGTGCCTTACGAAAGGCTAACAAGATTGGGGTCATCTAAATTTCTGGGGGGATGCTGTTCCACAAGACAAGTGCTGCCACTGAGAAGGCACGACTCCAACAAGAAGACATTGTTTAATAAAAGGTATCTGGAACATGCCCTCTCTGCTAGGTCTGGTGGGGCAGGCAGAAACAATTGGAGAAAGGGCTTAGTGTACATTTGACAAGAAATGGATTCATATGATTCCAGAAGTGTAAAGTAGAGGTGAGTTGAAATTCTTTCCATTCTTCCAGAGGGCTTTATATATATTTTGTTTGTCACACACGGGAGAAGACTACTTTTGTTTTCTCTATGAATCCAAGTGCAATTCTGCAACCTTCTTTTGCACAAAACCTGGAAATGTGGTTCGAAGATGCAAAATTAAGTGCCCTTTATCAGTGTTACATGACGTAGTTATGTACTAAGACTTCCAAGTAGGAAAATATATTTAATGGACCAGACATTCCATATACATGCTATGCTTTCTGGGAAAAAACTAGAATAAATCTTGCTCACTTTACCTGTTTTCCTGATCTGCAGCCACCATTTGATGGAGAAGATGAGGATGAACTCTTTCAATCAATTATGGAGCACACAGTATCCTATCCTAAATCTCTTTCACGAGAGGCTGTCTCCATCTGCAAAGGAGTGAGTCTTGGTTCAGAACTGGCACACCTAGGCGGGAAGGGCTCCTTATCATATTTGAGACCACATGAAAGGTGGTATCTAGATGTTACAAAAATGTTTTTTAAGATGATATGGTTTTGCAGAGAAGGGTCAATTGCAGCGTCCCCCAGGGATTTTGAGATGTACTGAACTTCAGTTCTCACGATTCTCAGCATCATGTCCAACTCATCTGCACTATATGGGAATGGCAAACTGATGGATTGTCTTCTGAAAAAAATCTGCCCTTGAAATTTAAATGGATTTGTTCCTTGCTTGGTTCTAAAACCAAAAATCAAACCCAGTTTAGGTTAAACATTGTTGGGGGAACACTGGCAGGGGAAAATCAGCAGGGTTGGAAGCAGTTAAGCATTTATTTCATCTGTCTTTCCCATGGGTGTTCCTCTGCTTCCATGTGCGAACGTGGGAAATCCTGTTTCCTTGGCTCAGTGTCTTCTTCCAATCTGATCTCAGATTGGATTTGATTCCTTAAAATAAAGATGCAGTGGTAGCAAAGTTCTTTCTGTTCCCTAGTTCTTGACCAAACATCCACTGAAGCGCTTGGGCTCAGGGCCAGATGGAGAACGGGATATTCGGGACCATGGATTTTTCCGCTGGATGGACTGGGAGAAACTGGAACAGCTGGAAATCCCCCCACCATTCACGCCTAGGCCAGTGAGTAGCTATTAGCTGCCAAATGACATGCACACCTGTTCACACAGTCTTCATCATGAAAGAAATCATTCCCAAGAAAGAGTATATGTACATGGATATCTATGGTATGATAAAGCTAAGGTGAATGTAGATTTTAAAAATCATTATAGCAGATGGGGTATTCTTAGAGTATGGAATAAATATAAATTTAGGTTTTGCTCAAAAATACCTTTGTGGCTTTTAGTGCAAAAAGCATTCTATAGACAAGAAATGATAAGTAAACATAAATGGTTAAGAAAGAGTTTATATTGTTCTGCTGTGTGCCATATCTTTAGAATGGAAGAATATGAACCGAATCACAAAGGAAGATTATGCGAGTTCATATGCTTCTGGACAATCTGCCAAGCAGAAACCTTAGCAAAAGTTTGATTTTTTCCCTCCAAATCTAAGTATAATATTCAGAATGTGTATTCACCATTTAATTTCATAAATATCATTAGGTAGCCTAAGCCTTAGCTAGTAAAAGACGAAAAAAGCAGTTGTATTAACAGACTGAAAAATAACTCTTCTTAGCTTCTTCCTTCAATATCATTTCCATCCATTTCTTCTTCTCTTTCCACTTCTATTCCAGTGTGGCCGGAGCGGCGAAAACTTTGACAAGTTTTTCACACGGGCACCACCAGCGCTGACACCCCCAGACCAGCTGGTCCTAGCAAGCATTGATCAGAGTGAATTCCAGGGATTCACCTACATCAACCCTGACTTTGTGCATCCATCCACGTTGCGGCGAGGAAGCCTCTCCCCAACTGGCATGCCTCTCTCTCCAACCAGCATGCCTTTGTCCCCAACAGGAATGCTCCCTTCCCCTACCTCCTTGGTGTGAGAATGATCCATAATGACCCAACATCCCTGTGTTAAGCCTTGGCTGTAGGACTCTGTTCCTGAGAACACGAGTCCAAGTTGAAACCTAGTCCTAACTCTAATCTTAAGATCCCCAGAAATACTTTGTTAATTGCATTCTCTGGTGTGTTGCTTCCCTCCTTCCTTCCCTCCATTAGGTGCAATCAAATTGGTGAGGTTAAGAATGAGAAAGCACGCACACACACACACACACGCACACACACACAATATACATATATATCTACATCAAGGGAAAGAGAGTTTGAGAGGAATAAAAGAGATAGAAGAGGAATTCCTCTGGTTATAATCAACCTTTGGAGGGTCCTGAAATTTGACTGAGGTTGTCATCAGACAACCTGTGTGAGGAATTTTGTAAAAATTGATTATAACTTGTAAACTTTAGCACGCTTGTATCACAGGAGTCCAGCATCTCTGGTCTCTGTGTCTTCTGTGATGGTCCTTCAGATGGTCCTTTTAGAACACTATGTAGGGGACCATGATTTGACTGAAATCAGGGAATGATAGAGTAGAGGGCTGTGATTCCAATGAGATCCTCCTAATTTCCCCCAGGTAGTTGGGGTACCAGATGACTCATCTGGTGAGAAATGGCTAAACCATAGGTTACCCTCCAGCTAATTTTATGCCATGCATATTTTGTGTAAAAATAATTTAAATGGCCAAAGGGTAACAGAGGGGGCTGTATTTTGTGAGAAGGGCATCGTAAGTGAAATTTGATTAGGAGCTACTTTGATGGTATTATCTGCTCTGGTTCCAGGACTATTATATGGCTGCACAACTTTAGAAGATGTCCTGATTGATAATGCAACAAAATGGCAGCTGTGTAGTGAAAGGTAGCTGTGTAATGAAAACCGAAATCTAACTATGAAGCAGACACTGAATCGCTTCTCTGCCTGAGATTTGGGCTGCAAAAGGGGAATGCTGAGGCATGGATTTATTAAATCAGAGAACTCCACACTTAACAGAACCACCATGAACTTGGATATGTAATTAGTGGAGAAAGAGCAGTCTCAGAATGCTGTGTTCATTTATACAGAAAGTGTCGGGAAGAGAACTTGCTACTACTGTAGTATGCAAAATAGATATTTCTTTACAGACTTAAAATATTGGGTCTCCTCCACTTGTCTTTCAGACGTGTTGAAACTGTAGTTCCAGAAGTCCCAATTCTAGCACATCTGCAGGATGCCAAGTTGGAGAACCCCATCTGAAAGGATAACTAGTTTACATTAAGAGATACCGAGCTACTCCCTTGAAATCATTTTTAAATCGGGAAGCTATCAAGGAAGAATGACTGCCTCTTCTCTCCATTAATTATTGGTTCAAATAATTTCTGATATTCATTTCAATTAATATCCCTTATCCTATTTGCAAATTGTAATCTTCAGCTTCACCTCCATGGTCCTTTTCCTAGTCTTATCTGCTACAGTGTAATATTATAATACTTGACGTATCTGTCTACTTAAGACCCTGATTCCTTGCGCCTCACACATCATTAGTAGGTCTTCCTCCCCAAAATCTTGTGAAATCCTCACCAGTCCTCCTTCCCTCCCAGGCATCACACTGTATGTGGCACAGCCTCCAGGCCCTTTGAGTCTTAATTTCCCCATCAGTAACACCTTCCTCTAACATGACTTCCCATCACCAACTCAACAGCTGTAAATAAAACTTTGGGAGAGAGCAGTGATAGTGGCAAAGTTGGCATTAGACTTGGATAAAATATGTCCCTTCTTCCACAGAACAGCATGTCCAGATGAAAACTTTGTCTTCTCTTTCGTGCATTAACTATTATATAATTATGCATTTATTTATATGTACATAATGAATATGTGTACCTTCCATGTTTCCATCTTTCTAAAGGGACACCCATCTCTTTTCTTCCAAGCTACACCTGACCATCTTTTCACAGCTTTAAAACTGAGGTATGGTAAACTGAGATCTTGCCCTCTACTTATTCTGAGAGCATCACTACTGATCAGACTGTAAACATTCCCTCGTGATTTTCCCGTTTACTTTTTCTGTGCAGAAAAAGCATGCTGGTATGTATTTACCAGATGACAGAACTCCACTGGAAACTAGACTTTTCCTACTGTGACCTGTGCCAGCTACTGTATAGTCATGAGATGGCACCCTGAAAGTGCAATGTTTATTCACACTGTTGAAGTGTTTACTCATATGAATTTGTGCTACAGATGAAAGAAAACTGAATTTGGTTGGCAGGTGGGATGGGTAAAAGGATGACTTATTCTGCTGATAGCAGAACATATTTAGAAAATATGAAAAATTAAAATGTTATTCCATCTCATACCCAAGGAGCAGTTCCTTCCAGTTTCTTCTCTCCTTTACATTGGTTGAAACTCTGTCGCTTTATAGCAACCTTCTCCATACTAGTCTACAGGTTCTATGCTCCCATTGCTGATTGGGGAAGAGTATTGTAGGCCAATTCAGCTGAAGGCCATCAAGTGGTAGAAGGCTGAAATATGCATCCAAATAGTCAGTTATAGCCTGTTAGACCTTCATGTTCTCCCTGTCTTGCAGACCATAAATACAGAGCATGGAAATCCAATATATTGAGTGAGTGAGTGGAGGAGCAGGGAGAATTCCCAAGCGTTATGGAATATATCAGTCCCAGAATTGCAAAACAGGAGGTATAGATGCCAAAATATAGGGCTACCAGGGACACTGTTGCCTATCTACAACTTAGGCCAATAATAATATGGGAAAGCAGAGTGATTTGCACAAGTATCTAAGGTAGCCCATAGGTAGAGCAGAAGGTTGTAGAATCCAGAGGTTCTGGTTTTATAAAAAGTGAGCAAGTCTACAGGCTGCCAGTTTGTCCTCCTGTCCCAAACATTTCTATAATTCTTTTCTCCAACCCTTACAATGCATAAGTCTTCCATCAGTTTCCTGCCTCAATTTTTTTCTCTGCTGATTTCCCCTCCCCCCCCCAGTTTGGGAATAATCAGATACCCCACGACTCATACATATACCTTCTTTTTGGCTTGTGATTCTCTGTAGCCAGTATCATAATCTAATGGACTCACCTATGCATTTCAATATAAAAGATATTTATCCAATCCTCAGCATGTGTTTGTTTTTCTGTCAATAACTCAGGTGGTAGGACTACAGATTTTGGGTTGTGGCTGATAATGGGATTCCTGAAGTGCATTATGAAACATGGGAAATCCCACTGAATTCAGAGAAAGTTACTTTTATGCAGTGGCTTCAGTTGGACAATTTTAGACTGTGGACCTAAGGGTCTTGCAGAAATTCTGTCCTTTTGATGGTAACGCACAATTTTTCCTGGATGTACAAAGCTAGCTGTGATGCATTTTAGCAACTTGCAGTGCTTCCTGCTAGATGAAGCTCTGGATCTTTTTCCTGATGGCATTACTACTGGGATAACCGAGGTGGAATGGGAGAGGGGAGCCCCCCAGAAGCCATCCGAGCTGAATCAAGAGGCCTTCCCCAGCAGGGGACCCTGGTCTAACCTATCCAAAGATGAAAGGAGTCTCTGGCTAGAGGGCTGCTAATGCTGGCAGTAAAACATCAAGGGCATTCAGGGCACCTCCACATGCCGCCTTTGCACCATTCTCGAATCAGTGCCATGTTCTGGGACTCCATAATGTCTCTCCTTAGCAGCTGAGCCCATTTATTTCTGGCTCAACAGTCTTGCTTCCAAATTCACAGTGAATCTGGTTTTCCACCCGGATTGTTAGAACTCTGCAGAGCTGGTGGGTGGATGGTCTTCTCATTGGCAGGAGCTCCCAGAAAAGAACGAGGCGGTGGCAGCTTTCCCTTATCATGGCAGTGGGTTTTGACAAGTGAACACATTGTATACACAGAGGGGCACAGGTTGGGTAGTTTTTGTTGCTGTTACTGTCAACTGGAAGGAGCACTTGGTTGCCTTATCGTGGTGTGTTTCAAACTTGGCAACTTTAGGATGTGTGGACTTCAACTCCCAGAATTCCCCAGCCAGCATGCTTTAAGATGTGTGGACTTAAACTCCCAGAATTCCCCAGCCAGCATGCTT